AAATCTATAGGTGCTTCTGACTTCAGGCGTGGTTGATATTCAAGCTGTGTCATCTCCAGTTCACAGTTCTGCTTCTCTTACTGTCTCCGGCCTGGGGATGGGGGTGAGGGTAGGAAGCAGTTCTAAAATTTAAATGGTTATAAAAATGTCTCCTCATAGCTCCAGGCTAACGTCCCACCAATTTTACACCCTGGACAGAGAGACTGTCTCTTCCTTAACGGTTCCAGCCTGAACTCCAAGGCTGCCTTTCATTGGCTCACTTCGGGTCATGTGTCCATCCTTGAACCAATGGGGAGGTCTGGAGTGCTCTGGTTGACTAAGTCTGCATTTCAGCGAGTGGGCAGCCCCAAGTGAAAGACAGGCCTGGGGAGGAGGAGGAAGTTTCCCAGTAGCCACTGGGCAGTGAGCGCAGTATCACTCCTGCATCTTCACTACCACATGCAAAGAGGTAGGAGAGGGGCGCACTAGGCCTTTGAGGAGGCTGGTAGAGGTTGGAATGTCACGTGACACGCTCCGACCTAGTGCCTGTGTGCCTGGCACTGTCCTAGGTGCTTAAGTTGCCCACCCAGCAAGACTTCTCTAGTTGGCACGCTGCGGGGCTCACATTCTAGGGAACAGTACACACAGTAATCAATGAAGCATAGGATGCACAGGATTATTTTAGACGGCACCGAGTTCTATGAAGACCATAAGCGGGGACAAAGTGAGAGAAGGTGGGTGTGAGTGGCTGCTTTTTTCAGCAAGGTCACAAAGACTTCTCAGGGTTGGTGACTTCTGACTAGAGACCTGAATCACAAGGCAGCATCTGGACGTTCCAGGCAGGGGAACAGCAATGGGAGGAGGCCCTGAGGTAGGAATGAGGCTGGCCAGGTAGCTAGAGGATAGAGGGCAGGGCTAGAGGGGTTAGACAGGGGAGGGCAGCCTGAGCTCAGAGGGCTGTGGAAGCTCTCAGGACCATGTTCTAGGTAGTCTGGGGAACCTGGGGAGCTTTGAAGTGCAGAATGGCATGGTCTGATTTATGATCTTCAGAGACATCTTTGGCTGCCTGAGGAAGTGGCAAAAATGCAGAGGAGGGTGCAGAAACTAATCCCTTCTGTTAGAGTCTCCTAGGCCTGGAGGACACAGTTAGAAGTCCAGAATTGGGAGCTCGAGTGAGCCGGTGTGGATGTTGGGGCAGGAAATTGGTAGTCAGGCTGGGTTCTAGAATGTTCCTTCACCTTGGTCCTGAGAGGCTCTACAACTAAGAAGCCAGCTCAAGCCAATAATCTCCAGGACTCTGGAGACAGAGGCAGAAGGACCACAAGTTCAAGGCCAGCCTGGGCAGCTTAGCAAGATCCTGTTTCAAAATAAAGTGGAAAGGGCTGGAGATGCGTGGCGCTCTTGCTTAGCATGTGCCTGGTCCCTGGTTCAATCCCCGACTGCAACATGGAGGAGGAAGAGGAAGAGGAGGAAACCACATCAGGTGGTGAGGCTGTGTAGGGAGAGAAGGACAGCGTGGGTCCTGTTTCCTTTCCCATGGCACCTCTGGCTCCCTCACCTGCTTGGGAGCACATTATCTGTTTGGGATAGTTGAGGAAACAAGTTCAGGAGTGGAGTAGAGGGATTTCGGCCCAAAGGTGACAACGCCCTCCTTTCAGACTCTGCCAGTCGGCTCCGTGGTGTTCTCTGTGGTGGCCACCGATCCAGATACTGGCTCAGGGGGCTTGGTGCAGTACTACATAGACAAGGTGAGTGTGAAAGTCTGCGGGAATAGGTGAGCTCATCGCCTGGCTGCTCCTTCCGGCCACCAGGGGGCAGCATGTCCACAGGCAACCAACCCACAGGGTCCTTGAGAGTCACCCATGCTGAGGCCCAACCTGTCCCTAAACCTCCCTCTGGCTTTCCCACCCCACTTCCACGGGAACCTCACTTTGTGCCGTTGCCAAAAGACTTTGCCTGCTTTGGACCAGATCTTTCCTTGCCCCTCCTGCACCTGTCTGGGCTCTGATGAAAGCTAATGTCTCACCTTGTGGTAGCTAACACACTTCCAGCTTTACAGAGAGGAAACTGATGCTCAGAGAGATCGTAGGTCTTGGCTTTTTAATATTTATTTATTGGCAGAACTGGGGATTGAACTCAGGCCCTGTGCTTGCGAGGCAAGCACTTACTCTGCTGAGCCATCTCCCTAGGCCCCAGGCCTAGGTGTTGTCCAAGGCTACATAGACAGTAAGGGATTCATGAGTCCTTTTATCAGAAAAAATCTTCGTTAGTTATTGCTCCACTTCCCGATTTGGCTTATCTCATGGGGTTTCCAATGTGGAAAATAGCCTCACCAGCTCCACTTCCCAGAGAGGGGAGCTGAGGCTGCAGAGGTGAAGTTTGCATGAATGATCAATGGTTGAGCCAGAATTCAAACCTATGTCCTCTAGGGCAGGGTCAGGTGGGCAGCACTATCCTGGGGGATCCTGACCTGAATATGTCCTCTGCTAAGGTCATCCCTAGTACCCCAGACAGCGAGCATCTCTTCAAGATCTTGGAAAATGGCTCCATTGTGCTCAACAACAGCCTCAACTACAATAGCAAGAGTCCCTTCTACCAGCTGGAGCTGAAGGCCTGCGTGAGTAGGGGTGATGCCAGGCCAGGCCTGTGGACCCATGGCCCTGGCTCATAAAAGGCCCTTCTCCTTTCAGGACTCAGGCGGCAAGTACAACAACACCCTCGTCACACACTGCTCCCAGCCTGTCTTTCTGTCCATCTCCGTGATTGACCAGCCAGACCTGGACCCCCAGTTTCTTAGGGAGTTTTACTCAGGCTCTGTGTATGAGGATGCAACTGTGGTATGTACTGGGTACCTGCAGGGCTCAGGGTGGGCATGAGAGGCAGTGGAGAGGAGGGTCAGAGGCACTGACTCGGTGTCCTTCCAGAACACCCCGGTGCTGACGGTGCAGGCTGTGGATGGAGACAGAGGCATCAATGATGTGATAATCTACAGCATCTCCAGTGAGAATGCAGGGTCCCTAGGCTGAGTCTGGAGCAAGCGGGAGGCTGGGGCTCTGTCAGAGCCTCTGGAAGCAACTGCCTTCCTTGCCTCCCTGCAGATTCCACGAGGCCTGGATGGTTTGCTATTGGGGACAATGGCATCATCAGGGTCAATGGCTCCCTGGACCGTGAGCAACTCCTAGATGAGAATGAGGAAGTGCAGGTGGAGGTTATGGTGAGTGAGGGTTCCTCCATGCTGTAACCTCAGACCTTTGATCTTGTTCTTTCTGAGCACTGGTTCTCTGCACTTTGGTCTCTGCTCTGTGCTTTAGGCCATGGAGAAGAATCTCAATATCTATGGACAAGAGGCCAAGGTGAGCACATGGGTCACAGTAACAGTGTTGGATGTCAATGACCACAAACCGGAGTTTTATAGCTGCGTCCTCCAAGACTGCTCCTTTACCCCCCAAGAAGCCCAAGACAATTTCACTGCCTATGTGGATGAGCATGCCTCCACCCGCATCCCTGTTGACAATCTCACCATGGTCGTCTATGACCCAGACAAGGCAGGTGCAGGGGAAGGGGGCATGGAAGGAGATAATGATGGGCAGTGGTTGGGAGGGAAGTGAGGAGGCAGTGGTAGAAGAGATGATGGTAATGGGTCAGTGAGCTGTGGGAGGTGGGAATTGTTGGGTGATATTTGGAGAAGCTGGGTGATGTTGAATTGTGGGTAATGTACTCAGGGTGATGCTAGGTAGTATTGGCTAGGGAGCAGTGTTGAGTGGGGTCGGTATTGGATGTTGGTCACACTGAGTTGAATATGGATTCTGGTGGTGCTGGTATTGGGTGGGCAGTAATTTTGGGTGATACTGGGTGTCGGGAGATGCAAGGCAGGGTTATGTGTTGTGTCCAGAGTGAACTGAATGTTAGGCTGGAAGGAAGACTGAAATAAAAATTGAGACTAGATTGTAGGTAGCTTGGGTGAAGCTGAATGATAACCATGGGTGGTACTTGGTAGTTTTAGGTGATGAGCATTTGACATAGAATTTTGAGTGGAGGATAATACTTGGTGGCACTAGGTTGTGTGGAGCTGGTGACTGAAGGGTGGGGTTGGGTGAGGAGTGATTGTTGGGTGAGGGTAGGTGGTGGGTGCTGAGTGGTAGCTAGTAAGGAAGGCTGCCAGGAATAGCTTATGGAAATGAGGAGAGTGTGTCTCTGTAGTCCTGCCTGGGACCTGCAGTGTTATGGGAAATCCCCCTTTGATGATGCCATATTTGCAGAGACAAGTGACAAGCCCAGCCTATAGGACCCTGTCATCTTTGTTTAAAGAGCTCTTTTTTGCACCCTCATTGGCTAGGGTTTTCTGAAGCAAGAGCCTGCAGCTGGAGATTGGGGAAAAGATATGAGTGGGCAAGTTCCAGGGGACTGGGACTCCTACTCAACAGCCCACCTTTACAGGGCAACCATGGCACCTTTCTGCTGACCCTGAAGGGCCCCAACGCTGAAGCCTTCAGTGTCTCCCCTGGGAGGGCAGTGGGCTCAGCTGAAGTGCAGGTGCTGGTGAGAAATTCAGAGATGGTGGACTACGAGAACCAGAGTGTGATGCTGGTGCAGGTAAGGAGCGCTCATTGTGGGGTCCTGAGGGGAGGGGCCCATGGGGCAGCCAGGCCCCAACATTGCTGCTTCTTCTGTGTTCAGGTTGTGGCCACTGACTCGGTCAGCAGGAACTTCTCTGTTGCCATGGTGACCATCCATCTTAGAGACATTAATGACCATAGGCCCACATTCCCCCAGAGATTGTATGTCCTCAGTGTGCTGGAGAACAGTGCCACAGGCTCTGAGGTCACCAACAGCATACATGTGAGTGACACGGGATGCATCTGGCTAGGTTGGGAGGCTAATGTGGAGAAGGGCAGATCTGGGAACAGTGGGCTGCTTCAGTCTTTGTATCATTCAACGTGATTGAGCCACAGCAAAGTGTGTGTGTGTGTGTGTGTGTGTGTGTGAGAGAGAGAGAGAGAGAGAGAGAGAGAGAGAGAGAGAGAGAGAGAGCACACTGTGCAGGGCACTTGTGTGTGAATCCAGATGTGGGCTGTCTTTCCTTTGGGCCCGGAAGTAGGACAGCCCTGCCTCCATGAATTGCATGGTAGGCAGCAGTTGCCTTTGTATCTAAACAGTATCCTGTCATCTCCTGTTTCACAGGCCGAAGACCCAGACACAGGTGCATGGGGCAACATCACCTACAGCCTGCTCCCAGGGAACGGGTAAGGTTTTAGTGTGACAGTAGGGGATAGACAAAGCAGGCACAGACTCACATCTCTGCCTCATGAAAGGGTTGGCATATCTTGAGAAAATATAGGTAGCTCAGTTACATTTAAATTTCAGAAATATTGGGGCAGGGGAGATAGTTCAGCGGCATAAGCCTGGCAAGTGTAAGTTCTTGAGTTTAATCTACAGTACCAAAAATCAATCAATCAATATTTCAGAAAAGCAATGAATTATTTTTTAAAAAATATATGTGTTTTCTGGGGCTGGTGAGATGGCTCAGTGGTCTAAAGCACCTACTTAGAACAAGCTTAGCAAAGCCCAGGGACAGCAGTTTAATCCCCAGCACCACATGCCAGCCAGCCCCGCCCCCTGGTGGGTTGAGCTGGCCACACACACACACACACACACACACAAATAAATAAATAAAAATTAAAATATATATGTGTGTGTGTGTGTGTGTTTTCTGTTCCTATAATAATACTTGTGTATTGATTTTTTTTTTTTTTTTTTTTTTTTTTGCGGTACCAGGGATCAAACTTGGGCCCATGTGTTTGCCAAGCAAGTGCTTATGCCACTGAGCTATCTCCCAGCTCTCTCTCTCTCTTTTTCTTTTTTTTAAACAGGGCTTGGGGGCTGGGCAGATGGCTCAGTGGAATAAGCGCATCCCTGGCAAGCACAAGGGCCCGAGTTCAATCCCCGGTTCTGCAAAAAAAAAAAAAAAAAAAAGAAAAGAAAAAAAAGAAACAGGATCTTGCTATATAGTCCAGGCTGGCCTTGAACTTACTATGTAGCTGAGGGTAGCCTCGAACTTGTGGCAGTCCTCTTGCCTCAATCTCTCAAGTGCCTGGATTACAGGCCTATGCTACCATAGCTGGCTCCTATAACAATACTTGATTCTGTATACTTTATAAAGAGAGGTTTCATTAGCTCACAGTTCTCAAAGTTCAAGAGCAGGGTAAGATCCATCAACTGAGCTGCAGTGAAGCCTTCAGAGTGGACAGCATCACCAGAGGCAAAGATTTCACAAGCACACAGGAGGCTTGAGTGAAGGGGGTGCACCGTAACAAGCTCCCAACAGGCCCTGCCTCCTCATACCACTGTTGCACTATATACCGTGCTTCCTATATGAGGGGTGGGGCACATTCATGTCTTGTCCAAACCATAGCAAGAGTGTGTTGGAAATACTGCATGGGACATCCCAAAATATTTGCCATGGTTTATCTGAAATCCAAATTTGAGTGTAATTGTATTTGCTAAATCTGGCTACGCCGAGCAGGGTAGAGCTCTTTGAGGTGGATCCGGACTCAGGGATGGTGACAGTGAGGAATGGCACGCTACTGGACCGGGAGAGGCAGGCCGTGTACTACCTCACACTGCAGGCCACAGATGGGGGCGGCCTATCTGACACCACCATGCTGCAGATCCACCTGCTGGATGTGAACGACAACCCCCCTGAGGTCACTGGCTCCTACAACATCTTCATCCCGGAGGAAGAGGGCGATGTCCATGTGACCATCCAGGTGTGAACTGGCCTAGACCTGCCTGGAGGGAGGGAGGGAGGGAAGAAGGGAGGGAGGGAGAGAGAAAGAGAGAGAGAGAGAGAGAGAGAGAGAGAGAGAGAGAGAGAGAGAGGTATCAAGTTTGAGGTCATGCTGGCCCTGAGTGGAGTGGAGTCAGAGCTTTGCTGTGTGACTCTGAGGAAGTCATTTACTTTCTCTGAGCCTCTGTTTTCTCTTTAGAAAATGAAGACGATCATAGGATTTATTCACAGGCATTGAGGAATGATGAGAAAATAAAGGGCTCAGTAATAGGCTTGGCATGGAAAAAGCCTTACTGCTCAGCCAGGCCTTGTGGTATACACCTGTAATCCCACCACTGAGAAAGGCTTCACAGGAGGACTGAAAGCACAAGTGCTGCCTAGGCAACCTAGCAAGACCTTGCCTCAAAATAAATAATGAGAAGGGCTGAGGATGTTGCTCAATATGAGAGTACCCCTAGAATCAATCCCCAAAACCATAAAAATAAATAAGCAAAGGTTTTTTTTTTTTTTTTTTATATAAACTGCTTGTGTATGTGTGTGTGTATGGTACTAGGGTTAAACTGAGACCCTTGAACAATGTAGGCCAGCGCTCTGCACTGACTAACTCCACAACACTTTTTATTTTTTATTTTGAGACACGGTCTTGCTAAGTTTCTAAGGTTTTCAGGCTGGCCTTGAACTTTTTTTTTTTTTTGCGGAACCGGGGATTGAACTCAGGCCCTTGAGCTTGCCAGGGAAGCGCTTATTCCACTGAGCCATCTCCCCGGCCCCATGGCCTTGAACTTATGATCCTCCTGCCTCAGCCTCCTGAGCAGCTGGGACTGCAGGTGTGCACACTGTTAGCTTTTTAAAAAATTTGAATGTCTGTACTACACTTCCCCATACCCCTTCCCAGTAGCATATCAGCTCCCTAAAGAACTCCTCTTGCTTACAGCTTCCTTCCCAGGACTTAGATTAGGACCACACACATAGTAGGTGCACAATAGACAATTGTGCAATGAATGGAGGACTCAATGATAAAGATCTCAGAACTCTCACATGGTGTGATCACAGTCTCTTGGATAGAAGACCCAGACCATAGGGAGGCCGGGAGATGGCTCTGGCTCTAGGCCAGTCATTGTCCCCATGGGCCAGTGCTGGGGATGGTGGGGAGGCTGCTGGGTGAGGCAGGGACAGGGCTGATGCCAGTGCCTGCTTCTCTGTCCAGGCCTATGACAACGATGAACCAAACACCAACAACAGCCGCCTGTTCTTCAGCCTGCTCCCTGGGCCCTACAGTCAGAACTTCTCAGTGGATCCCGACACTGGGCTCCTGAGGAACGTGGGGCCCTTGGACCGTGAGGCCATTGACCCAGCCCTAGGGGGCCGCATCGTGCTGACTGTGCGTGTGGCTGACTACGGTGTGCCTCAACTCAGCACTGAAGTCAATGTCACTGTCACTGTGGAGGTATGACCAACCCTGGGCTGTGCAGGTGGCTGGCCTCTGCTTCCAGTATAACTGGGTTTCACTCCTCTTGCGGTGCTGTGGCGGGTTGGGGAACCCTGGACTGGGCTGTCTGGCTGTGGGGCTTAGGTAGTCACTCAACTCCCCTGGCCCTTCAGTCCCTCGAGTGTATGATCAGGGTGGGGACAGTCAGAGGAGGTGTTACTGAATGGAAAGTATTCTGACCACAGAAAGTACTTGGAGAAGATTAGCTTAATTGTCATTCAGTTCCTGCCTGAAACCCTCTTAGCTCCCCACCACTTAAAGGCAAAGAGCAGGGGTGAAAATCAGCACTGATAGGGTCCACTGCACACTGGGGCCTGAGAGGGAGGGGTTGGTTATTGTCATTTTATTGATCATGAAAATTAGCCATGGAGCAATTCGGTGGCTTTCCTGGAGTTGTGCAGTGAGGACTTGAACGTAGCTCTGAAGCTGCCACCGGCTTACAAGGCAGCCTGCTGTGGAAAAGGACTAACAGAGGTGCACCTCTACGATGGCCGTGGTGTGGGCTGTGCAGCGCAGTCTGCACGCTGCACATAGCAGACCTGGGCTCCACTGGGTTGGGTTTTACCGCTCTCCTATAAAGATCAGAGAGTGCAGCCTCAAGAATAGTGCAGAAGCAGAAGCCAATTGAGGGCCTGCTGGCTGCCCTGGAAAGAGGGTAGCCTACAAAGAGGAAAAATGGAAGCGCTGCGCTTGTGAGGGTCTTCATTCTGTCCTGCAAGTGGGGACTGCTACCGCATTTTCCAGGTGCAGACACAGAGATCAAAATCACACAGAGGCAGAGGGAGGGATCTGAGTCAGAGCTGCCCTCCTGGCCACCCCCGTGAGTTAGGGTGCTGTGAGAATGTACCTGGTCAGGAGCTGGCGGGGGCAGTCCGGAAAACTGCTACCTGGATGAGCATCTCAACCAGGTGCCGTGGTGCGTGCTTCTCACCCCAGCACGCTGGGAGGCTGAGGCAGGATAACTGCAAGTTCAGGTTCAGCCTGGGTAACTTAGCAGTTTAGCAAGATGCTGTGTTAAAAACAAAACAAAAAACTGGTGATGTAGCTCAGGGTGAGGCTCTGGGTTCAATTTCTAGTACCTCAAAAAGAAAACAAACAAAAACCTAAAATGCCAAAGTGCACAAGTCTCAGCTGGGCATTCTTCTGTATCTTTAGTCCCAGCTGTGCAGAGAGAAGGCTCAGTGGTGGTTTGAGACAGCCTGGGCCACAGAGTGAGATGAAAGAAAGAGGGGAGAAAGAGACAGAGAAGAAACTACACCTCACTGAAGGAAGGGAGCTTAGGTTTGTAAGTGTCCAGTCTATAGTTGGATAGAAAAAGGCAAACCTCCAGCATGAGTTGGAAGGGCCAGAACACTCAGTACCCTCCATGCTCATGCCAGAGTTAGGGGACGATGTGGCATTGTTCCATGCCATGAGAACAGTAGTGAGGGCTCCAGCCAGGTCTGGAGAGGGAGCCGTGAGCACGGAGCAGCAGGCGTCAGAGGGCAGGACCAGGGTAAGCCCTGGCTGTGCCTGGGCACAGGGCTGGTGCTGTGGGGTCAGACAAAGAAGAAGAGGTGAGGAGGAAATGGAGGTCACCAAGCCACAGAGCTGATGTCAACACTTCAATCTGAGAGACAGGAAGTCCAGCTGATGGGGACAGGCCTGTGGTGGGACACCTGGAAGTGTGTTTCTGAAAAGCAGGGCTTAAGACAGTTTCAAGGTCAAAGAGACAAAAGGAGGCAGAGCTTCCTGACTGTGTATAGGCAACTTCGGGAGCCCACCACGTGCCTGTGAGCCCCAGCCAGGTGACCAGGGCAGGGTCCTCCCTCTCAAAGGCTGTTTCCACCTCTTGGAAGCAGGCAATGCTATCCAAGGAGACCCGAGAGTCCCTGTTTCTGCTGTGGCTGAGGAATCACTGGCTTCTCAGATCAGCTTTGGGCAGGGCAAACCCTCAGGGCTATTGGGTCCCTGGGGCTCAGATCTGCCTCTACCTGCAGGACATCAATGACAACCTGCCTATCTTCAACCAGTCCAGCTACCAATTCTTTGTGAAGGAGAGGGATCCAGGTAAGCCCTCTCTGGGCATCAAGTGCCAGAACTGGGCACTGGGTGACTGTCTGGATTAGAAGAGGGCATGCGTGCGAAGTGTTCCATGAAGTGCTGGGTATATAGTAAACACCTGATTAATGCTGTTAATTTGTGAGGAAGTGTAAGGGAAAATGCTTGCTTACTTTGGAGAGAGAGAGAGAGAGAGAGAGAGAGAGAGAGAGAGAGAGAGAGAGTTTATAGGGCTGAAGGCCTCCACACTGAGCTACATACCCAGGACCCTGTAAAAATTTTCTTTTATTTGAGACACAGTCTTGTTAAGTTGCTAAGTTGCCCATACTGAACTTGAACTTGAACTTGCCATTCTCTTGCCTCAGCCTCCTGGAGTGCTGCGGTTAGAATGTGCACCATTATGTCCCACTTCAGATGTGTTATTTTAAATCTCACCTCTGTCCTCAAGTAGCAATAATAATATCAACAGCTATACTCAGAGGGCAGATCCAGAAGCCCTGGACTTTAAGACAGAGGAGGCTTTCAATGCCTGGCCAGAGTCTCTTCAAGCTCTGTCCCTTGTCCCCAGGAGCGCTGGTGGGTAACGTGGAAGCCTGGGATACAGACCAGACAGAAGCCAACAACCGCATCAGCTTCAGCCTGTCAGGGGCGGGTGCCAACAACTTCATACTCCGAGGTGTGGTGCTAGGATTTGGGAGGGCCAAGGGCGAACTCTCGCTGCCCTCAGACATAAGTCTGGACTATGAGGTCCAGGACTTCTTCCAGCTGGTGGTGAGTGCCGAGAACCCAGCCACCCAGGAGTATAAGGCCACTGCAGAAGTCAGAGTGACTGTGGTGGATGTGAATGACGAGCCGCCCACTCTGGTCGAAGCCTCACTGCAGGGCATCTCCGTGGCTGAGAATGGCTCACAGCATGGTGAAGTGGCTGTGGTGGTTGCCCAGGATGTGGACACTGGGGCCCAGCTGGAGATACAGCTGATGAACGTCATCTGCACCAAGGCCGGGGTTGACATGGGCAGCAAGTGTCAAGGCTGGTTCTTGGTAGTAGCCAACGGGTCTGTGTACATCAATCAGAGCGAGGCCATCGACTACGAGGCCTGTGACCAGGTAACACTGGTAGTGCGGGCCTACGACCTCAATACGGATCCCGGCTTCCAGGCCTACAGCATAAATGGTGAGGGGGCCTGGCTGATAGGGCTGCAGCATGGGGACCTTGGGGTGGGCGAAGCCCTGGCCTGGGACTCATAGGTGTGGCTCTGACTCCTGGCTTCAGCCCTTCCAAGCTGTGTCACTGGCAAAGTCCACCTTCTGTCCAGTGTGAAAGTTAAACAAAAACATGTATGCAGAGCATTTAGTTCAGTGCCTGGCATACAGTAGGTGGCTAATTAAAGTTACTAATGAGGCAACATAAAGCAAAGAACATACTTGTAGACCAAATGTATATTCATGCCCCACTTCTGACACCCAGTATCAATAATTCCATATTAATAACTGGCATATATTGAGTCTTTATGAGAACCAAGAACTATGCCTGATACATAGCTTCTCCCACTCCCTGTGCTAGAGCCAGAGATCAATTCTAGGGCCTTGCTCATGCTAGGCAAGTGCTCTACCACTGAGCTACCACCACTGAGCTACACACACACACACATAGTGGTCAGGTGGGATGATACACCTAGGCTGGCTGGGCCCCTTCTGGCTCACCACTCTTGCTGTGTGACTTTGGCAAGCTGCATAACCCTCTCTGAAGTGTAAGAATGATGCTCCCACCCACTCAGAGCAGAGAAGACCTTGCGGGGGTCCTGCATCAGGAGCTGGGAAAGGGACTGATGGGGCGATGTAGAGTGCGGCTAGGGCCCAGGCTCTTTGGGTCGGGCCTTCACCAGGCACCTTGAGCCAGCCAAGCTTGTCTCCTTAGGAAGCCTCACCATCACCATTGAGGACGTGAATGACAATGTGCCCTATTTTCTGCCGGAAAGTGAGACTTTTGGTAAGTGGCCACCCTGTCTTTACACCACCACACACACCTCCCTGTGCCACATAGACACCCTCGGGCACCTGATCCTCCTTAGGCCCAGGGAGCCCTTAGAAAAAGATAAATGGCTCTAATTCTACCTCCTCCAAGAGTTGCAAGTGGAGGGACACCTGAATTTTCCATTCCTGTTCTGCCTCATCAGATGATGAGGTCTGAGCCAGGCCTGCCCCTACTGGGCCTCAGTTTCTCCATCTGTACAATGGAGATGAATATCTAATTCAAGTATACCTGTCATGGGAGTCTCTTTTGGAAAAGACAGTGAGTGCAGGTTTGAGGGCTGAAGTCTGAGCTGGGCTTGTGGGTGGAGTGGGCCCGGTGGGCACTGCCCAACTGCACTAACCTTTCCTGCTCAACTTGTAGTGATCATCCTGGAACTCGTGAGACCCAACCAGCAGGTGGCTTCTGTTCGAGTGAGTCCTTGGCACCAGCCTTTGTTGGCCACATTAGCCTCAGAGGACACAGAGCTAAGGCCCTTGGCCTTTATGCTGCCCCCCCAAATGTCTGAACATGAGAAAGGGTGCACGCTTACGTAGGAAAACACAAACCTCAAGACAGAAACAAACACCTGCCTAATTGATCTGATCAAATTTCACTAATTGTTCAATTTAGTATTCATAAAAATTTCATGACCATGAACACCACTTTGCAGGCTTGATTTTTCTGACTACACCAGAATTCTTGAGTATGACAGAAATCAGAGCCTACTTTATATTAAGTGCATTCTTTCTAGTTAAATAATTTCCTCAGCAATGGTGTAAAAAGGCTTCCAGTTTGTTATGGTGTTGGATAGTGTGTTCAGCAGCTGGGAGTGCCAGTGCCGTGCTGGGGAGGCTTCCCCCAGGGACCTGGGGCTGAGCCTGGAAGGACCTCTCTGGGACTCAGTTTCTCTGTCTGAGAAGTAGCTAGTGGTTCTGGAAGATGCTCTCTGCAATGCCCTGGAAAGGACATTGGTGTACATAGCAGGCAGACAGGCGTAGATAGGAGATAGCCAGGCTAAGAGCCCATAAGACAAAGTGTTTTTCTTCTTTTCTCTTTCTGTTCTCTCTCTCTCTCTCTCTCTCTC